TGTGTAAAGGGCACCGGCCCAGGGGGTGTACAGAGCATATTCATTGTGAAGACAAAAACTGAGATGAACGTTTTGGGTTACTTTTCCTCTTTGAGGAAATGATGAAGAAATAACTGACCCATGAATCTAAGGTTGTAGAATTAGTCATGGCAGCTCTAAAGAAAATGAATAAAGGAGATTAAAGATGGTAGAAAATAAAATCCCCACACTTTGTTTCTCTTATGAAAAATTTTGCTTGGCATTATTTCATGGAAAAATTTGTGGACAAAAAATATTTGTATTTCCCCCAAGATGACAAACACTAGAGCAAGAAGAAATCAGAAGAATAAATAAGGATAGAAGTAAAGGTCTGATCTAACGGATCCAGGCAAAACCTGTAGCATTTTAGTGCTGAAAAGAATGTTAGTGATAACTAGAAATCAATTTTCTGAACTTATATTAGGACTTAAAGTGAAATAAAGGTCTAGTCACTTCCAGCCAAGTAGTCATAATTATACAAGTAGGACAGAATTGCTGTTCCATATTTAACTCAAATTCAGAAATCAGGGAAGACCCCAATGAGGCACGAGAACTCTCCCTCGTGGCCTTTGAGGCCTCTTGAAGTCAGTCTGCAAGTCTGTCTCTCTCCTCACGGCACCTGCCTGGCCTGCACAGTCTCTGTCTTTTCTAAATTTTATATTCAAGTGTTGTCTAAAGACAGTTGAAAAATAAGCTAAAATAGTCTTAAAAATATAATTAAACATGACAAGCAAATCGCATCACAATATTACAGGTGAATGTAAATAGAACATTTCCCCCAAATCTTTCCTAAATAAAAATAAAGCAGATTTGTTTTAAAATCAAACATGTAAGTGTCTGAACCACCAGCAGATGGCAGAAGGAGAGGCTGGGAAATTCTCTAACAAAAGAAGGGAACAACTCAACATGGATTCCCAATCTTAGCTTGAGAACTGCTATAGATTTTTCCCCCCTCCTTGAATCTTTCCTTCGCAGATAAATAGAAAATTCTTTTACTTTATCAATGTACATATATTCTATAATTTTAATTGAGATGCAATGACTAGAACAGTGAAAAATAAACTTGGTCCTCTACTTCTCTAAGGATTTCTAATAATTTTCATTAAATAAAATTTAAATGCAAACAGAAATCCTTCATATTAGGAAAAGTAATGAGTTGATATGATTATGAACTTCAAAAAGAAAATGTCTGCTGGCTTCATTTCAATGACATTGTTACCTTAGGTGTACTTTCACTTAAGTTATATTCACACCCACTTACAGAGTTAGACAAGTAAATTCACCAGAACACACACTTTGCTAAGATAGAGTTGAGAAGAACCAGAGCTTCATGTAGCTCTACAAGGAAAGATATAAATGTTTTCCAAAAGAAGATTAATTAACATATGCTTTCATGTGGTCACATGAATACAAGGAAGAGCATGTTAATAGGTAGAATCTTATTATGTACTACTAAATATTCTAAATCTTAAATTCTACACTAATAGCCCCAAGGCAGAATGCCAGGTAATCAATGAATAACGCATTGCAAGTGACCACCAGAAAGATCCCTAACTTCCTGAGCGTGTTTAAAACTTTTCTATTCTCAAAATCGCGTGAGATATGCCAACTTTATTTGATACATATTTGTTTCACAGAACATTTCTTCTGTTCTCTACTTATCTGCTCTAATCCTCGGGTTTTCATAGCCATCAAAAAAAGGCAGTTCTCATCATGAAATGTGTTATGTTAAAATGTCTAGTGTCATATGAATACTTGGAATCTTTATTTTGTAGACCAGCTTTGGCCAACAGAAATTTCTTTGAAGAAGGAAATGCTCTGTATCTGCAAGGGGCCTACATGGTAGCCACTGGCAGTGGATGACAAAGAATGAAATCCATACCTGCAGCTGCAGAAGTTGATTAACAAAGATATTTAACAGTGAGACAGACACATTGGAACGACTGGTTGTCGGCGCCAACCAGGACCATTCAACAGCTTCAACAAGCGGTGACAATGAATGTGTATCTTCCTTCAGTTGGACTCTTCAGAGCTATACCATAAAATGCCAAGCTAATATATCAACCCAGATAACAGAAGGATCAGTGAGCAAATCCCAGAATAGAACACAATGCAGTAGTAGTACTACGTTAATTATCACAATTTTTACACTACCTAAAAATCTCTAAATAATCAGCAATGTTTCTTATACTGTGAACCAAGTCAAGTCAATATGAATATAACAAGATAGAGTCCCTAAGCTTTACAATCTCACTGGGGAAAAACGCCACATCACGGAGTTGGGCTGGGCCATACCATACTATCACCCATGTACAATATGCAAGAGAAAACAAGATGGCAAAAGAGAAATCCCAAATACGTTGCAAAGGCAGTGGGTGCTGCGTGAGCCCAGAGGAGCTCAGCAGTCTGTGGCCCGAAGGAAGACACCGCAGAGGGAGACAGGTACGGACAGGGTCTGGACAGTGGGGTGAGCTTGAAGTGCAACCAGAGGGTAGGAGAGCATTTCAGGGGAAGGCGAGGTATGAGGCGAGGCTGGCGGTAGGAGGTGGAGGCTAGGTGGGTACAAAGGCTCAGTATAGTTATGAGACTATGTTAGTTGGGGGTCAGAAGACCAGTTTGAACTTTAATGTTATTTTTCCCTAGGATATGTTTACTCCACTGAGATAAAGATAAAAACTAATACGTAAGGGTAAATGAATTTAGTATTTACTTTAAATTTTATGTTTAGGTATTTTAAGCTTAGACTTTTCTCTCAACACATTTTAGGTGCCTAAGCCAAATACTAAAAATTACTGCCAAAAGAGGATAAAAAATAATATTAAGAGGAAATATACAGTTTTTACTTATATATTAATAGGAAAAACGAGACTACTAAAGTCCTTAAGTCTAGTCCCACCTCTGCCGGTTGTGGGCCAGGACCTTGGGAACCAAGAGTCGGCCTTCAGCCCCTCCTCCTACCACGGAGGAAGGCTTAACCGGAGGGTCCTGGGGACCTCTTGCAAGGATACAACTGTAGACCCTAGGAAAGTTTCAGGAAAAGGTAGAAAGGGGAAAATGCGGTAGGGAAGAGACAGAGACACAATACATGGAGGGTCCTGCAACAGGGTTTTAGAGAAATGGCCTTAGTAAGTTTACTATGTTCTCCTAGGTTTTGGTTTAAAAGGTGGCATGGAAGGGGCAGGTTGGCCCTCCGTCCCCGCAACAGGGACTGGTGCCCAACAGCGGGGACTCTGTCACCCGTGGGCCCTAAGATTTACATTTCATCATTTTTCTTCTTCCCATTCTTTTTTTTTAGAACAACATATACACTTACCCTTGATATTCCTAATCATTCATTTTTAATAACCTCTCCACGTACATTTTTTGTAACAGTTTCTAACAAAAATCATAAAAGGAGCATAAAATTCACAATTTTCTTCCTCCAAAGAACATGCCAACCAAATTTGAATTTATGGAATTCTAATACCCATTTAGCACTGGGAAACAAACTGGTTATATAACATTCATTTCTGTCTATTCAGTTTCAAAAAAAAAATCTTCAAAATTTATTTTGGTGACCAAATTTATTACTGCCAAACAAGTAAGCACTAAGAATTTACTCCAGGAAAGACATCATACTGAGCAAAAGATATATTTTGAAATCTACCCACTTTTTAATAAAATTCTGGCTTCCAAAGGAGCGGGTGGCATCTCCCCACAATTCTAGACCTTCACATGGAAACCAAGTCAGGCTCCGCTAATGAGTGCCTCTTAGCAATTGGCTTTCGCAATTTATTAGTAGCAAATATGTATGAAAAGCAAGTAAACATGACAAAAACTACAGGTCTGGAAGACTGTAATGGCAGAAAATCCACACGCGCTCGCTCGGTCACACCCTGTCCCAGTGAGCCACCCGCTCGGTGCCCGGTCCCGCCCTCAGCGCTGGGCCTCCTGCGGCGGCTGTCCCGGGAGCTCCGCGCGCACACGGCTCCTTCAGGAGGCCTCTGCTCTCCCACTGGGCTAGCGCAGGCCCACTCTGCCCTTCCCCTGATCCACTCAACTGCCTCCCCTGGTCTCTGGCAATCCATCTTCCACCAAGTGGTCAAAATCATCTATGTTGCAAACCTAACCACTACCTGCCTTAAATCTTTTAATAGCTTTGCATTTTCTGTAGGATAAAACTCAAATCTTAAATCTCTCCAACCTCCGATCTTTTCCACACAGACAGAATTTAACTACTTTTGTCCTCCCCCCACCCCCAGGGTTGTCCTCCAATCTAAAAATAGCTCTTACTTTTCTTCTCCTCCTCTCTTGCCTAAATATAGCACCAGCCTTCAAGTCTGCCCAGGGATCCGCCTCCTAGAAAACCTTCCCACTCAACTCCGCTGTACTCCCACAATCCTATGCGTATTTCTAGCATGGAGATAACCACACTGGAGGATATTATGTCTCTTTATAGGCTTATACCTACCAACTGACTGTGAGCAACTTAAGAGCTGGAGCTGGGACTTAATTCAGTTTTGACTGGAACACAGTGATTCAACACATTCTTGAAGCAGGGATGATGAATAACTGGATGACTGAAGCTAGAGTTATGAACCAAAGACAGCACTCTGATAACATTCGGTGGCTGTAATTTCAATATCCCCAAACTGGGGGGAGAGGGGGTCTGGTAAACCCTGCTCTATAGCTAATTAAAGTTAAAAGTAAATATTACCACATAAAATTCATGGTTTCCTAGACTATTTCTCATATTCTCCACAACAAAGAGAGAAGGTAAAGGAAATACTACCACAGTCTAACCTTAATCACAATAGAAGGGAAAGCTTAAACTTCAGAAGATTTTAGAACCTCTACATTTAATTAAAAAAAAAAAAAAGAAAAAAGAAAGGGCAAGTCCTGTCTGTTGAGGCTTCCAGTCCGACGGGGGGTGGGGGCGTGGGGGGGGCGCGTGCGTGCGGCGCTGATGGAACCTACATAATAAGCTACATCAGACTACACACCTTGAGTCCAAAGTCGGTATCCTCCGAGGTCAAGACTTCAACCTGAAATCATAAGGAAAAAAATAATTTAGGCACTATCACAACCTCCTTTGAGCCCTGACTGGTGTGGCTCAGTGGGTTGGGCCTTGTCCCATAGAGCAAAAGGTCGCTGTTTCCATCCCTGGTCAGGGCACGTGCCGGGGTTGCAGGTTCGGTCCCCGGACGGGGCACCTATGAGAGGCAACCGATGGATGTTTCTATCTCACATCAATGTTTCTCTCCCTCTTTTTCCCTCCCTTCCCCTCTCTTTATGAATAAATAAATAAATAAAATCTTTAAAATAATTTTAAAAAGCCCTCCTTTGAGTCTAGCCACAGATGCCAGGGCATGGCATGGCCTGGAACTTAGAGTTCTGAGAAAACTGGCATTTGATTTATGTCAGGAGTCAAGAAATAGAGGTGACCTGGGTCTCTTCAAGAGCTGATATAAGTCCAGGTCTCTGTCCCAGGCCCCAGTTTTATAACCAGGAAAGTTTCTTTCAAATGAATATATTTGTTATCATGTTGAAAGTGGGGGTATATGTTCCTCAAAATGATCTAGAAAGTTAGGAGAATCATCCTTCTCCCTTAAATCACAGGATGCTGCGTATGATTCTTGATCTTTTATGGACAGCGAGGGGAAAGTTATGCTTTGTAACGCAATTTCACCATTCTTGCAAAGGTGCTAGTATTTTCTTGCCCTGCTCACATCCGAGCCGGCAGTCCTCGATCTCTGGAATGTTGCAGAGCGAGAGTTCCCGAAGGCAGTGCTCCGGGAAGGGCAGAGTCCAAGCAACATGGTGTGAAATGAGGGCAAAACCTCACAATGGCCTGTCCATCTACGGCACTGAAGATGGAGCTCATTCACGTGAATTTTAAAAGCTGCATGGAGCAAGACGTGTACTGATAATTACTGTTTTTTAAGCAATTATTCGGTCTGATGTATAAAGCTTTTAACTGATTACTACAAAGTACCTATGAGATGAAAAAGATCAAGGAAAGAAGGTAACAGAACAGGAATTTTTTAAAAAGTATCTGAGGAAGACGGGGTTGGGCGGGCCGGGGGACGGCGGGGGGAGACCAAAAACATCGGGCTAGCTGGTTTCACTGCTGGTTTTAAACCTTTTTAAATTAGGTATTTGTAGTACGTGTTTTGAATAGAAGGCACACAGGCCTGTCCAATGTATCTTGCTATAACAAAATTGGATTCTTCCCTTGGGGGAAGGAAATACAGAAAGGAAGATCATTTCAATAACACTATCAGCCAGTATGAAAGTAAAGGGGTCAAAAGAGAAACCAATTGTATTCTCCAACTGCTTTACTGAAAGGGAAGCTCACCCACCACCTGGCATCTGACAGAGGCTGGCCTGGCACACAAAGCAAGAGAAATGCATGATCAGGTATTAGGAGGATGAGCGGTCTCACTTTGATGAAAACCATATGCTGCTGATACCATATGTGATTTTAGGCTAAAGGCTGAAATGCTGGATCAACTATAGCACAGAATCATTACTAGATTCACTGACAGCATTTCTGTTTACACTTCAATTCCCAAAGCTAATTGTTAGATTTAGAAACAAGGTTGTATTATAGACTTTTAGTTTAAGATTTAAAAAAAAAAAGTTATTTGAAATCTACATATGTTTGAATTTCCTAAGTCTTGTCTTTCAAAACACTCGGTTACTAACTTCAAGTATCTTTACATTGAAACCTCTAATCAACATTGAAGACTTTAGTTAAAGGGAAAGCACAAACAACAAATTCGCTGAATCTTAACTACTATAAATACTATAACATTTGCTCTTGAATTATACAGGGATGGGGCAAAAGTTGGTTACAGTTATGAGCATGCAAAACACACAGTTTATTCTTGTATTATGATAATCATAGCCTGCATGTCTTTTCCCATATGAACTGTAAATCCACTTTTGCCCACCCCTGTACATACAGGTCATATCTGCACACATCAGTGTTAGCTATGTGCAACCTTGATGTGCTATTTTAATATACATATGATTATATTGTTAAAAAATATAATAGTTTAAATCAGCAAAAAAAAAAAGTTTAAATCATTCTGTGGGAATTCTGCATTTGCTTAACATATTGTAAAAAGGCAAAATGGCACAAAAATTCAAAGCAAATAAATATCTATTTAAAGACAGGGTTTTAATATATTGGACAACTTGAGCTGAGAGCAAACCCAAGCTTTCCAGTGGCATTTAGAAACTCTTCGTGTGGCTACGGCCGCAGCTAGAGACAAACACAGGTTTGGGGCCTTGAGGATGGAGGTGAGTCTCAGAAGGTCAGCCGCTTCTTGCACCCCAGAGCCTGTCTCCAGGAGGGTGCAAAGGGGTGCTTTGAAATTCCTAAGTATTTACCAATTTAATGAAAGCCAATTTTTTAAAATAATGTATTGTTCAAAAGCACAATGGTTTAAATACAGATGTACTTTGCTTCAATATCGTTTATATTTTGTTTCTGTAAAATCTTAATTTCAATATCTACAAAAACAGATGATTTAAAAACATGAGATTAACCTCAATTTAATAAAAAAGAAAGATCAATGTCTTATGAAGGTTTTCATGTTGGATCTAAGAGCATTTTTACCTAAGTTGGAAGGAATCCCCCTCTAGTGGGAGTAAGGGAGTATTTCAACCTTTACACAAAATTTGCAGGTAGTAATAATTAAACTTAACTAACAACAGAAATGTTAAGTGTTCCTGTCCCTTTTGTCATAAATCTGAATCTTTAAAAAAAATAAGTATTTTATATTTCACCAGCCAAAAACACCTATAATTCCTATATATAAACTAGCAGTTGATTTGTGTTTATCTGATGGAATTTTAGTTATTAGTCAGCCATCATCATCAAATTTAATTTGGCTCTAAAGTAGTCACAATTTTATGTTAAAACAGGAATTAGCTTTAACTAGAAAAAACTAGTGCATTCCCAACGGAAGTACTCGCACTGCTGGGAAGGCAGCGTCTGGTATCTGTGCTCACCCGAATCACCCGAGTCCCGGAGCAAACGCTGCCTGGACACCCCTCTTCCACGCACCGGGCTGCGCCTGGTGCTGGAGGGGGAAGTGGTGGTCGCGCTCTGGTATTAATGCCTGGGTGAGGTGTATTTAAACATTCATTAAAAAAATAAATTCAAATTTAGAAATGACCCGAGGAAATTATTAATGGTATTGTTTTTCTTTTTAAAGTTCAGTTTGGGGAGATATAAAACTGGAAGTACTATAAAATCATTAAGAAAAAGGGGCAATAGTTTTATCAAAAGTAAAACTAGGACGCAACAGCAAGGCTCTCCTGGTCGCAGACGTTGCCCCAGATGCAAAGACAACTCGGAACGAGGGGACGCAGACCTGACGCTCCCGGGCAGACCTGACGCTCCGGGGCGGAGAACGCAGCGAGGCTTCTGGGGTGCAAGGCGTGCAGGCTAACCGAGCAGACACTTACCAAGTCCCAGGTAAGGCCCGTTCCATCAAATCACGCTTATTTCAAATGATACTGCAGTCAATACTTTAGAACACAGGTATCTAAAAAGGGTTTCATTTGTAGAGAGTTTCTAAAATCACTGTGTGACCGCTCAGCTCACACAGTTCAGCGGCAGCCAAGCCATTCAGTCCTTTCATTCGACTCCAGCACAGAAACCTTTACCCGGATCCTCTCACTCTCAATTACTCTAATAAAATAAGCCCTACGTCGGCCAAAATTAAAGGAAACCACTTTAATTTCCAATAATTCCATTAAGAAAATTGAGAAAATGTGGATTCATGAATTTGGAAGTAAAACTGGTTTTACTTTTCTCTTTCCTGAATCACTTTCAAAGTCCTTTTCACCTTCCCTTCCAAAGTAGGGAACACTAATATCCAGCAGCATTTTCTTTAAAATAAAACAATGCTAAAACTATGTCCCATTTTGATCAAAAAAGTTTCTAAAATCAGGACCACACTGTAACAAAAAATTGTGACAAATAATGATGATTTATAATCATAAATAATCTTCTCTACATTTAAAGGGATGCAAATAAAAACACGCAACAATTTTCTATTTTTCTCACAACAGATTACTAAAGATTAACAATTTTGAAAATTATGATGTTGAAAAAGGTGTGGGAAATCACTGAAATCATAACCTTGCACTGATAATAAGAACATATATTAGAATGAAGTGCATTTTGCCAAAATCCACCAAAATGCACGTGCACGTTAGGTGTTAACCCACCAACTCCACTGATACTCAAGTGCAAAAACAAAAGATTTACAAAGCTATCCATGAGAGTTGTTTATAACAATAAAAAGCTGAAAACCACCATCAATCAAATGTCCATCAAAAGGAAGTGTTTAATAAATAGTCATACAGCCAAGCAACAGAATTCTAGGCTGCTGTTAAGAGACTGTATTACTTTAACTGAAAGAATCAGAACAGTGTGTGTAGTAAGCTAACATCTGTATTTAAAATAAAAGTGAGGGTGGGTATATGAGGGGGGACCCAAAAAACCCCAATTATTTTCTGGAGGGTAGATCCCCTTTAGTACAGGCTTCCCTGCTAGGGACCCATCTGGCCTAGTGTGCCAGCTGGCGTTGTCTGGGGAGGCTGCATCTGGCTGTTGAAGACTCAATGTGTTTGCCCATTTCATGATGGGCGATTCACAAGCACACCTGCCCATATACTAACTACTCTCAGTGTTCAGGAGTATTTGACCAAAAAAATGGCATGACCCCCATGCCCCAGCCTCCCTATCCATTTGATCTCATCCTGAGCGACTTTCTTCGTTTTCCCAGATAAAAAAAGTCCTCAAAGGGAAACCTTTTGCTGATGTGGAAGAGTAAAACAAAAAATGGTAGAAGCACTAAAAGGAATCAAAATAGACAAGTTCAAAAACTGTTTTGAGCAGTGGAAAAAAAATGCCTCGATAGGTGCATTCCATCAAATGCAGAGTACCTGGAAGGTGAATGAAGTTTCAATGTGTAAGAATACACAATTTTTTATACATAAATCTGGATTTTTGGGGGTATCC